GAAATCAAAACCAAGACAAACTACTTTCAGTAGTTGATCATTTAATCTAATTTTGTAAACAAGCTAACATTTGAGGGAAATAGTCTCATATAGAAGCTGAACTCCTGCTAAAGTTGTCTCAACACTGTCCTTCTCACGTGCCGTCTTCAAAAACAGTGGTAATTTTGGCAGTGGTCAGGATTAGCTGCTAATTAGCCTCATTTTAAGGATGAGACTTGGAGGGCTGAATGAGATGTGAGCTCACTCCGTTGTCCTGCTGAATTGTGGGGGGATTATCGGGCTGCGTCGTAATCCTCTTATTGTAAAGCAAGGCCACTCTCTGGCCTCTTCCTGTCCCCTCTTTGGTTTTCTTCTCACTTTGCTTCACTGCTTCTCCTCTTTCCTCCTATGCAACTCTCTGCATCTTATTGCCTCTCTTGTATTTATGCTGTGTTAGTCTGTACATGATTGTGTCAATTTATAGGCTGAAATCAGATGCATTGTTTATGCAGTTAATGTAGAACAACAACTACTGAAATTGCATAAATGGACATCAAATTGCGTAATATCTTATCTTGTAGACATTCTTAAGGGCTTGACTACCTGTTATATTTAACGTTTAAAGGCACCATGTGGAGTTGTTGACCACCACTGGAGCTACAGAGTAATGTTTTGATAAGTGGGGTCCCTGTTTAGTTTGTATCTCGTGCTCTACTTGCTTGCACACAGGATGTACACACTGTCAACTGTTTCACGTTATTTCACTTATCACCTGGTAGATGTAGAAACGTAGCTGTCAGGTTTTAGATTAGAAAAAAACGCTTTGAAAATTGTCCAATAACTGGGAATTTTCAAGAGCTTTCAGACACTCCTCATGGCTTTCATCAGCAGACGGAGCAGACTATCAGGGCAAGGTTTGTCTGTCGATAAGGGCCACAAGATGTGGTTGAAAGCTCCAGAAAATTTCCAGTAAGTGGAACTTGGGCTTTGAAAATAATACATGTCAAATAGGAGAAGGAACTGTATTCAACATATGTATTAGGCCTTGATGATACAGCAGAGCTCAAACAGTTAGTTGAATAATCAATTGATTGACAGATAAAATAATGAAAATAGCGTCAGTTGCAGCCCTAGGATACACACAATGTGTTTTTGGTGAGAAACACTGGATATAAACACAATAATCTCCACTGGGTACCTTTAACGTCGGCATTGTAATCATTTTTATTTGAGCTAAAACTGAACTTCAAATTACTAGGTCAAATTTCCTCCTGAATTACCTCTGAAATATTCAAACCAAATGAAAATCTTTTGAGGATCTTAAAAGGTGATGTCTCGCAGGCAGACATCAAAGAAAAGAGCGTAAAGCCACACACTCATAACTCAGATGCACTTTTTATTTGAAGTTCTAAAGATCAGCAACATGCCTTCTTGGCTGGCTGGCAGGGGGTTGTTTCGGGCTTACATCGAGCTAGCATCAAAGCTTGCTCAAACATAGGACCCACGAGCGGCCAAATGATGTTCACTGAAGAGGTTCTTGTTCACATTGATCTTTTGGAACTGGAATTGAAGGATTCCTTTTATTTTGCCGAACTGAACAGAAGACGATCCTCTGGTTATTTTCACATTTATCTTTTCCATATTACCCAGATTTTAGCACAAATCGACAGTTTAAAGAGTGACAGTCGATGTCAGGGAAGAGGCTGTGTTCCTGTTGGTACATGTATAGTTAGTCTGTAGTGTATCGATGGACCTCTGCCGAGCTGCCTCTGCTTACCCTGATTGATTACTGGAACTTTCCTCTTGGCACAGACCTATATGTTTATAATTTCAATTACACTCAGACCTCACAGTGACTGAGGTTTAATTCACAGTCAACAAGAGGCTGGGGACATTCAATAAAAATATGAAATTGCTTTTACTAGTCTCTTGTGTTGCTGTGCTTGGATATAGGCCACAAAACCATGTGATATTACTTAACATGGCTTTCAGACAACCAAGAGCGGGTTTAAAACGAGGCTAGTAGTTCATAAATTTGTTGTATAATAGATTTTGCAGTGTGAACGAATTTTAGATTATAAAAACAGCTGTTATCACTCACTGTCTCCCCCCGCCCCCCGTATCTGTCTGTCTGCAGGTGACCCAAAAAGCTGGCAGAACAAGTCTCTCCCCGGGGACCCCAACTACCTGGTGGGAGCCAACTGTGTTTCTGTGCTCATTGACCACTTTTAAGGACGAAACAGCAGGTGTGATGTTACTGAATGTGAAACCATGGGGGATAAAAATGAAGAAAATGGATACACATAAACACAAAACACACAGACACACACACACACTGACAGATGCACTCCAAACATACATACACACCACATAATGGAGTATGAAGAAGACCCAGTCAGTGCTGTTTACTGCACCCATGGATGAAGGCGAGACACTGATGATCGTTACAAGCTGTTCTTTAAACTTTTTTCCCAATTTGAAGTTTTTGATGTGAAATGAAACCATTAATGCATGCCCCATGCCACTGAGGATTGACACTATATATAAGGCAATGTTTAATGTCATTTTTACATGAATTTAGATGGATGGTTGGCTTTTGAGGCGTACGCGCTTCAAAAAATCTGTCGGTATATTTATGCTATATATGCATACAGTATATATAGGAGTATAGAGAAGATTTACTAAAATTTTACTCATGAATTCAATTACAAGTCGACATCTTGGTTTTTTTTTTTTTTTTCTCACTTCAGGTGACTTAATAAAAAAAAAAAAAAAAATGTATCTACGTTTTTTTCCACATCGTGGGAATTTTAATGAAGGTTTGAGACAGACGTGAGGTAAACCAGTGATGGTGACATTTGCATGTTTCTGTTGAAGGAGTCGGCAAAACATGAGCTGGATTTGAACCCAAGTGGCACACTTTAAGAGACGTTATTCCTTCACTCCTTCCTTTTATTCTTACTTTTCCTACAGTAATATCTTGTAGCTTAATTTCTTACCGAGTACCACGTCTCTCCTTCCAGCCTGAGGGAGATCTATGCATGTTCTTTACTCAGGTCCATTAGCCTCCTCAGTTTCTTCCTCGCATCTTCTCTCTCTCTCTCTCTCTCTCTCTCTCTCTCTCTCTCTCTCTCTCTCTCTCTCTCTCTCTCTCTCTCTCTCTCGTCTTTCTTTTTTCTCTCTGTGCACTCTTGCACTCACACACAAATAAGCAGTGATGCCTTATCTGCAGATTATTCACTTTTCATTAAGAAAAAAAAGATAAGTTATGATAAATTATGGTATAATGTCATTTGTTTTGCCATTTTTTGTGAACCCACTGTATAAATGAACTTGGGTTTAGCACACAATAACAGTCGATAAAGGATAACAAAGGTATGCTCTTCTTTTATCTGCTATGCATTACTTAAAGAAAAAAAAACAACAGAAAAGAAGTGGCTGTAAATAAAGCTAGCATATTGCCTTGTTTCTTTTTGTTTGTAAATGAACATTTTGTATGTCTTTCTTTTTTGTAAAAAACTTAGAGAAAACATGTTTTAAAAAGTGGAAGAAAGTGAACGTGGTTATCTTTGTATTCTGGATATACCCTCGAGCCTTGGAACTTGTAACCTAACAATAATACATCACACCTTTTCTACCGATATATTCACACCATGTTACGGTCACAATAAAAGGTCTTTTTATGGCTCTTTAAGGATCAGGAATGTGCTTGGGCTAAAATACATTTAAAACATGTTCTTTTCAAAGGGTGTGCTCTCAAAGTGTCCCCCTCACTGATTTGTGATACTGGATGCTGTATTGTGTGCCCTTAAATGTATTTTTGTACTAATAGACAATATATTATGTATGGCACACCAGTACCATTTTATTTTTAGATATAACACGGCTTTAATTGGATATTAGCTCTTCACGTGTGGCTGACTTTTTTTCTCTTCTGCAACACAATTTTAAGTATACCACTGTATTAATAAATAAAATCATTTTTAAAGAGTGTGTGTCTGAATGTTCTTTTCGCCTCTGCTGATCCCAACTCCTGTTAAGATTCCTGTTGTTATTATTTTTTTTTTAAGATTTAAATTGATTATTAGTTTCATCAATAAGAGATAGATATAGATTCTTTATCGTCCTTTTCAGGAAATTTGTTGCCACAGTATGTACATACACGTATGCACACAACATTACCACAGGATAGACATTTGAACAGCAAAATATCAAGAAACAGGCCGTTAAAAGATGGATCTGGAAAATCCTGATGAGCAATTTTCACTTTTTTATCCAACAAAGTCCAAAACTCACATATATTCACTTTCTCAACAAGACAAAGAAAAACAGACAATTCTTACATTTCAGCAGCTTGATCCACTGATGTTTAATTGTTTTTTGTGTTAGAATAATGACTTTACTATCAAAAAACCACTGCAGATTAATATGGTCGTTTAACTAACCCATTAATTGGCTGTTCTGGCTCTGTGTGTCTTGGCTCAGGTTTCACAGCTAGGTGGCGCAGGTGAGCTCTAAATGAGTACTGAACAAGGTCAGAAACACAGAAGTCCTTCAGCTCCGATTTTACTGTCTCAGGGTCCTATTGTCAACTGATAAATCCTCTCTTCAATATCCACATTTGAACAGTTTTTGTCCCTAGATACACTGAGGACCTGCATTTGGTGAGAAGCAAAATATGTTTAAAGAAGTCCAATTTTAGACATTTTAATTTCCCTATTTATATTATTAAAGTGTTGCAGTTACATTAGTAGCCTATGGTCTTTCTTTAAAAGGTATGCTTTCATAAAATATTTAGAAAATGTGACTGCATGTTATGTTATGTTAAAATATATAATTATGATCAAAAATGTGTACAATTAAAGGAACATTGCAGGATGCTACCTTTCTTTTTGTTACTCTTTACCTTTAATACTCGATATGTTCACCTCTTCGGGCCTCTAAACATCATATAAACTAAACTCTGAGAAAGAGAAAAACAATGTTCTATCTAATCTGTATTTCTCTCAAACCCTCTCTGGACATTTTCAAATGATCACCAATTTTTTAATAATGTGCAGCCAGTCTAATTCCTGTGTGCTCTTCAGGCAGAATCCTCCTCCAGGTGTGTCGCAGTTACTACCTGCCTATAATGAAGGAGAGGTGATACAGAGCCAATGACAATGCAGTGGATGATGTCCTGATGCTGCAGCTGGACTTTGGTTTTATATAAACGGTAAACACACCTGAACCTAAAGCTCCTTAAATCGGTTGTCCCATGAATTCTGATTACATGATGGAAATGTAAGAAGGTTCAGACTGTAGCTGCTGCATGCAAAACACAAAACACATGATAAATGCGTGCTCTTTCCTTCATAATATAGGTATATAAAATCCTATTGATGCTGCTCCTCTGATGATCAGATCCTACCACGTTTCCATCCACCACCACATCACGAGCAGTGGTAACAAATCACGCGCATTTCTTCTTCTTTTGTGTGTGTGTGTGTGTGTGTGTGGATGCTGCCTGATAGTAAAGACCTCCCCTCCTTCACTATCGTAGTAAAACAGCCTCCGTGCAGCTCGCCGCCATGTAGACGCGCAGAGTGGCACATCTCCAATACGCAGTGTGTATCTCCTGTCCTGGCTCAGAGATTCTGCTGTGTGGAAAAACCCACGGCTGGTGCCTCACGCAGAAGAAAGAAGCGCTGCTCGTGGAAGGACTGCGGATTTTCAGACACCAAAAACAAAACAAACCAAAACAGTGATTTCAAAAAACCTTTTAGACGTCTGATCTTCAAGGAAGCTCAGGCTTTGTTGGGGTTTGTTATCCGGGCTTTTCATCTCTCGCTTTAGAGTTGTTGGAGGAGCCTGCAGGGGTCGAGTCTGACAGCGCGACAATGGTGCTTTACAGCAGGATGATGCGTTTCTTTCTTTTTGCCTTTTGACTTTTAGAGGGAATGGGCTCTTTGCCGGCGCGGTCGCAGAGAACTCGGGTGATTTCATGTGGTGTCTTTTTTCGATTTGAGAAATATTCCCAGTTTGTGCGTGTGTTATGGTAAACATCTGGTGCCTCGCTGCGTCCGCTCTTTCCTCACCTTTCTCCTCCCAACCCGCAGCTCTAATTGGAGCCACTCCGAAGCATCTTAATTGATGGAAATCAGCCACATCGGACACTGACCTCCCGACTTCCACTGCGGGCTCAAACACAGCGACTCGGCTGTTTGTGGATGTTATTGTGTTTTATTGGTGCTGCTGGGGTTTTTTTTTGTTGCTGTTGTCGTACCCTTCAGTGACAATGCCGTTGAACGCGCTGCCCCGCGGCGGCAGCAGCGGCATCGGCGGCCCGGGGTCCCTGAGCCCGGCGTCGCTGTCCCGCAGCCTGTCCCGGCTACGGGAGTACCGGACCCGGACGAGGATCATGCTGGCTCTGGGAGTCTCTCAGATGGTCCTGGGAAGTCTCATCCTGGCCGTCAGCTTCGCGGCTTTGGCTCTCACCACATCACCCAGAGTCCGGCACTCCTGTCCCTTCTGGGCAGGTTTCTCTGTGAGTACAACAATTACACAATGATTTAATTTCAATTCAAGTTTTCATCTCCTGAATAAAAAGAAAATTCACGTAGTATCCTGTGAGACAAAAAAGATTCGCGATATGATGGGAACATTATTTATTTTTGTATTATTAAGATCCATAAAATAGGATTATTTGTCACTACATTGGTCTCATAGACTATTGACTGGCATAGGAGACCTAAAATTATGATATTGTTGCTGTAGACTCATTATTTAAGGAATGTTAGAAACTTGATTGAGTAATTTTGAATTTGTAGGAGGTCCAATTCTTTTAATTCTCAGGTAGAGAGCTAAACTAATTGGTGTGCCAGTGCCATGAAGGAAAAAATATTAGGTTTTTAAATACATTTTGGAGGACAGAGCCAATAATAAGCAATTAGTTGTGAGTATGCAGAGCTTCTGTGGTAATCAGTGATACAGCACACACACACACACACACACACACACAGAGAGAGAGAGAGAGCATCAAGGAGGATGTATTTAGGAGGATACTGTACAGTGCTCTTTACTATGTGTACAGCCGGATGTGTTTTCGGAGAATCGTTGTAGAGATGTTGTGTTTTCCTTCATGTGAAATTTTCATGGTGGTTTTCTGTAAATATTTATGAATGCACACGTCCCTGATTTCCTGCCAGAGACCTGGAGTCCATTAATTATAGAGGCAGTGGGGCAGAGTGCAGGGGTGAGGGGAGGTCTGTGGCACAAGGGCCATCTGTGTGTGTATGTGTATGTGTATGTGTGTGTGTGTGTGTGTGTGTGTGAGGGAGGACATGTGTTAGGGCCTGTATGTGTGGGAGTGTATAGTTACAGGGGAATGGTAAGTAACCACAGGGGTCAGAGAGCAAAGGTCAGTGCACATTCTTGATCGGTGCCTTGAGCTGATTTGACAAAATCAGGCCTGTCAGGCTGTTGTTGTGCAGCGTCTTACCGTCTGTTATCTCACCGAACCTGATGCATCTTTGTGCCCCAACACACAGACGCAGGAAAACATCACCGGTGCACCTTTTTGTTAGCTTGTTAGTTATATTATTTGTTGTGTCATGCAGTTCAGAGCCCGGATAAAACACAATATAAATATTATGTAACAATGCAAACAATGAACAAACCACAAAAAAAGGTTCCCATCCTAAACACAGCTCAAGGTTGTTGTATTATAATTAATATATTAATATAATAGTTATTTAATTAAAAAAGATAAAACATGATATGAGCCTCATTTTCAATCTCACCTAAATCACATAACAGACAAAGCTTTTTATCTTCAGGGAGACCATTCTAGCTAATGGTACCTTACCCAAGATTTTTTGATTTTGGGTTGAATTCTTCTTCTAATAAGACTCTAAACTGTTATTTTTCATGAGATGATATGTTTGTACTTTAGGTTTTCACCAAGCATCAACAGAAACTCTAAATTGGAAAAATATAAAGCGAGACAACGGTAAAATAAGGTTCAGGGCAAATGATGCTGTTGGGCAGAGGTTTAGTACTGTAACCTTTGCTGAGTCAGGTGTTGGAAACATATCTTGCTAGCAGAAGAGAACCATCAGCCACAGTGGTGCCAAGAACCAGATAATGTGGCTGAGACCAGCTGCCCATCTGGAGATTTTGGCGATGGAAGTGACTCACTCTTTGTAAAGAGCTCTAAACTGCAGAAAACGTTGTTAAACACGTTTAAAGTCCTCGCAGATTGAACTGGGCTGGAAAAATATATTCTTCACACTCTTTGGCTTTACATTTGGTCTTGAATGTCAACTTTTAATAGGAGAAAACGCAGCATGTGGTGTATAGGGAACTGTCTGGGAGCTTGGCTTTGGGTAAATAAGACGAATCAACAGACTCTCAATTAGGTGGGATGCTTTTCACAGCTCTGATCTGTGATTTAGTTTCTTAGATGAGTGTACTTGCACACAAAAGGTTGCTTTGTACAGCTTTAAGACTCTTTTGAACTAATATATCCCTAATTTTAGAGGAGGAAAGTGTTCTCTCTCTCTGGGTCAATGTGTGTGAGCGTTTGTGGTGAAAGGGGAATATCTGCTACAAATGGTTTAGTGCTGTGTATCCATGTTCAAGTTTCGATCTCATTTGGGTTAAATTGTTTACACGACCCTCTGATATCCTGCAGAGACGCGTCCTTAAATTGATAACTGATCTTTCTGCATGTGAATGTAGTTCTTGTTGAACCCTGAAACCTTTATGTCGAGCTTCCTGCCATGTTGGTGAACTCAGCTAATGAGGAATCCTCAACCTGTGTATGCACTCGCACGTGTGTGTATGTGGTTTGTGTGTGTGTGTGTGTGTGTGTGTGTGTGTGTGTGTGTGTGTGTGTGTGTGTGTGTGTGTGTGGCCACTGTGGGACGTCGTTAAGGATCTCTGTGTGATGACTGGTATTGTGGGATTTCATCACGGTCACAGCAAGAGAGGGCGTAATCTTTACATCCTACACAGAGCAATCAGTGATGAGCCCAGGCCTGGCTGTCCCTCCTCCTCACACACACACACACACACACACACACACACACACACACACACACACACACAGACATATCCCACCTCAGTCTTGTGCATATTAATGGATCTGTATCACCATCTTGTGTGATCTTGAGGCGTGTGGGCCAACAGAGACTAATCCCACAAATATCTTGGTCTTTCTCGCCCCATACCAAAGGCTTACAGTCATCCCACACCCCTGCTGTAACTCTTTAGCTGAGCAGACATGCAGCCAGCCGCAGTCAATTTCTGGAGAGGTGATTTTGGCGTCAAAAGATGACGCAGAGCCGTGCAGACTCAGAGGCTGCAGACTGCACGAGGCCTATATTACCAGCATGTTTACCTGTTGGCGGTGAATCACGCCGCCCTGCCGGGTTTTTGGCCAATATACGAGGCGATGTGGTAGAGTGAGCCAAAGGACCGCTGCAGCTGTCAGCGGCTGACATGCAGAACAAATTACCGTTCACCTCGCATCTCCACGAATTAAACTCGGAACTGATCCAAGTGTCCAAACACACACACACACACACACACACACACACACACACACACACACACACAAATACACAAGCTGCCTCCATTCCCTGAGAGACACCTAGGATAAATTATGTGATTATGTAAATCCATCAGAAGGAAATATTGCAGGCATCATTCAGTAATTCACATTATATTTTGATGCCTTCTATCTCCTTTTTCTCTTTATCACTCTGACATTTCCCTCTCCTCTCCTCCCTTTGCTCCAGAGAAGGATTTACTCTTCTTTTTTTTTCTCCCTCCCCCGCTCTCCTGGTTGTGTGGTAGAAGATGAATGTGGATTTTGTATAGCCTCTCTAAAAGTAACACTCCAACATCCCAAATCTACAGACTGTGCCGTAACAAAGACGGCTTAAGATGGTATTCTCAGTGTTTGTTGTGAGGCAGCATTTCCTGCCCCAACCGTCAGCAGATTCTGCACTAATCTGCCCGAGTGTGTGTGTGTGTGTGTGTGTGTGTGTGTGTGTGTGTGTGTGTGTGTGTGTGTGTGTGTGTGTGTGTGTTTGAATAGCAGGCTCCAAAAGTGTTTTGTAGGGGGTTGTTGTGTTGTCGGGGTATATTGGGAGACTCTCAATGTCTTTGTGTGTGTGTGTGTGTGTGTGTGTGTGTGTGTGTGTGTGTGTGTGTGTGTGTGTGTGTGTGGAAGAAGGGCAAAGGTGCACATCGGAGTAAAGTTGGTCTCAGCCTGATTTTTAGCTATGCCTCTGGATGTCAGCCTGTTGGTTGGTTTGGTCTCTTTTTTGTTCCAAAATATATTTTAACTGACTAAGTAACAAATGTTCTTCAAAGAATCATGTTCCCCAGAGGATGAACACTACTGACTAAATATTAAGATGTCTGTCTTTTCATTTAGTGCTACCAGTAGGTCAAAGTTTTCATTTATTTTAGGATATTCTGCGAAGTATCTCAGGTGAATTGACATTTTCTACCTCCAAAACTAACAACATTCCCATCAGCCTCAGCCGAACCTAATTAGCCAATATTAGCACGCTAACGCGCTAAACCGAGACCGTGAACGAGACTGTCATTGTTGGCTTGCTGACGTTAGCATTCAGCTCAAAGCACCGCTGTGCTTAAGCCTCACAGGCCTGCTACCATGGCTGTAGGCGTTCTGTCTTGAAGCTTGACTCTAAATACAAAAACAGAATCATATTTTCTCATTGAGCCTGTGTGTTTTGTGCTTCTTTGCTACAGGAAAGGCACATAAAAAATGCATGCAAACACAGATCAGTTCAAATTGTCTCTTTAAAGTACAGTGCTATTAGGCCTCTTATAGGAAATTATCTCAGCATATCTAAACTGGTTGTTGGAAATCTTAGCGAGGAATACGAGGAGAGCGGCAGCAGTTCTGGTGGTAGATGAAGACAAAGAGGTGGAAATGTTTGATTTAATTGTTCTGTTGCTGGGTTCTGTTCTGCAGCAAGGGAGTGTGCATCATCATTAATTAACTGGCTTACTAGGCTTAGGTAGTATCCTGGCAACAGATCTTAAGGCACAATCACACACAGACAAACACGTGCACACGTATAGGCTCGTACTTCAAAGTGTACGCAGTGTTGGTTGAGAACCGTCATTTTGATGAACAGACTAAAGATGTGTTGAATATAAATGAAGAAAACCCAGATATGGTTGTTGTCAGGAATACTGAGGCACTAATCATAAAGGTGTCAGTCATGACTTGTAACATCAAAGTGAACAGAGAAGTGATGTTATATTCAATCAGTAGCCTTTCTTTGCCTTCGAAGTGAAGATCAATACTTCCAGCACTGTGTCAAGCGAGTGTGAAGATTTTTATAATCTTTTTTTCCATTGTATGATTTTACAAAAAGATGAGTCATAGTTTCAGGTTCAGTGAAACTCCTAAACATGCAATGTAGTGCATGAATAGCCAGCATTTGTGAATCAGTGCATTATTGCATTTTGAGGCGCATTGATTTCTATTTCAATAAAGTC